CCAGGGCCAGGCCCCAGGGCCCCCCTTTATCGTGAATAAAGGGAAGTGGAATGACAAATAAAAGAAATAAAAATAAATTCAAAATCGAGAAGCATCAGGGCCCAGTACAGTGGGGTGGGTAGGGCACTTTGCCTTGTGCGTGTCCCCCAAAGCACCAGGTGCCACTGTCTGGCCCCAAAGCCATCCTCGTAGCTCCAGCCCAACTCCACTGCCACAGGACAGAGCCTCAGGTGCTGAACAATTCTGGTAAATGTTTTGTTGTTGTTTGGGTTATTTTTGTTGTTGTTTGTTTGGTTGGTTTTTGTTTGTTTGTTTTTTTGGTTTTTTTGGCTGAAAACTCCAGGCCTTCTCAGAGTCGGGCTGGGTGACCTCCCCCGAACCTTCCTGTAACCCCCAAGACATGCCCCCCACGCCTGCCCCCCACCCCCGGTCTCATCACTGCCACCATGCAAGCTTTTCTACCTGCCCTGTTCCAGAGACTCAGAAAGGAATCTTGAAAAGTGATGGACCAGCAGCAAACATTTCTCAGACACGCGTTCTTCGCTGAAACCCCAGGCCAGCCCTGCCCCAGCAACTCACTCACTCCCCAGAGCTGCCGCCAGAACTCTGGCCAGACAACCCAGTTCAATATTCTGGATTTTCTGAACTGCGTAACTGCATTCACGGCCGTGTGACGTCTCCAAACTCTACAATACTAACATTCCAGTAGGATGCAGCAGATTGGATGGGAGTGTAACGGAGACACCAACTAAGCTCGACTAACAAACACACGAACACCAGAGGTTCAACTGCAACAACAGCTCAGTAAGCCCTCAGGCAGGGACTTGGTGTCCCCATGGTGAGAAGCGTCAATTTTCACACATTTTCTTCTACAGATTTTTTTTTTTTAATCATTCTGGTAGTCGGGGCTGAAGAGATAGCACAGCGGGTAGGGCGTTTGCCTTGCTTGTGGCCGAGCCGGGTTTGATTCCCAGCATCCCATAGGATCCCGTGAGCACCTCTAGGAGTAATTCCTGAGTGCATGAGCCAGGAGGAACCCCTGTGCATCGCCAGGTGTGACCCAAAAAACAAAAAATAATTAATCATTCTGGTAGTCATTTAATGGTAACAAGCGATGGAAAAGAGATTATTGTGGGCTGCTACGGGGGAGGGGGTGGTTAGGCTGGAGGGGTGGTTGGGGAAAAGGGGACAGTGGTGGAGGAAGGTGACAGTGGGGGGGCAGGGATTGGGGTTGGATATTGAATGCCTGTGACAAACCATCAGGAACAACTTGGTAAACAATGGAGTGTAAATTATGACATCAGGAGACCACTGGAGCATCAAGTCCAGTCCAGGGCTTGAGTGTCCACTTGTGGCCAGGGTTCCCATTGCCCAGGAGGTACAGGGGACACAACAGGTTTCCCACCTCCTCCCAAAGGTGCCCACACACTCACTCTCTCGCTCTCACCTTGTCCTGTGTGGCAACTACTACTGACCCCCAGAGGAGTCCCAGGGAGGGGGGGGACGGTGGGTTCTTTCTTCCCGGCCGCACCATTGGTGGTGCCTCCTGGCTGTTCCCCATTCGGAGGAAACTGACAACCACGCGAGAGTCCCTGGCCCTTTGGGGCAGTGCCACATATCGAAACGGGGATGGTGAGAAGAGCAAGAGCAGGAATCAGAGTAGCAAGTTCATCTTCCAGCCCGAGAGGCGGCAGCTCTAAGTCTCCGCTCTGCAACTCCCCGCGTGCAACCTGCTCCAACCTCTGCAGGAACCACCGGGCGGGCAGGAGGGCCAGCAGGGCCCCACTGCACCGCACTGCAGCCTCTGCCATGGCAGGGGTAAGACAAGCTGCAGTTCTCAGAGCAGGGGGCCAAGTTAATCCCTTCCCTGGGATGGGCCTTGGGATGGGTGGGGTCAGAGAGCCACGTCTGACCACGGATGCAGCGGCTGGGTCCATGGTCAGCCTCTGACCATGGATGTTGGGGCCAGCGAGCAGCATCTGACCCAGATGCAGGAGCATCGCAGCCAGCTCACACTGCCGCGTGCAGTAACCCTCAGGCTGGATGTGCTCACCCTGGGAGACCCCCTCTCTCAGTGTCACCGTCCAGGCCCCACACAGCCCTGTCTCCAGCATCTGCCCATGCCAGACACGCCATCTTCAGAACATGCCATGTTCCCAGGGCCTTGGGAGTTCTGCGCTTGTCCTTTCTTCCCCGGAACTTCCCCACGTGATGCGGGGCTTCTCACGCTGTGCTCTTGTGGCCCCTTCCTACTGCGAGACACGCTCAGTCCCCTGGGGTTCACAGCGCGTTTGAGTTTGAATTTGGTTTTGGTTGCGCATTTAGAAACCGTTTACGGTGGCCCATTCGGGAGTGACTCTCACGGTCAGTGATGCGCCCCACAGGAGGTCTTGACTCACAGTTATTTATTTATTTAGGGTTTGGGGACACACTCGGAGATGCTCAAGGTTTATTCCTGGCTCTGAACTCAGGAATTTCTCCTGGCAGCGCTCAAGGGAACCATATGGATGCCAGGGATGGAACCCGGGTTGGCTGTGTGCAAGGCAAGGGTCCTCCCTGCTCTACGACCACTCCAGCCTCTAGACCTACAATTTAAGAAGAGTCCAACCTGGCCAATCATGGTATTATAATTTTTAAAATTCTTTTAAGAAAAGAGGGCCCACAGACATGATGGTCTCTCAGTAGTTATATAGCAAAACAATGCCCCAAAGTAGAGAGAGAGTATGGGGAAAATTGTCTGCCATGGAGGCAGGGGGAGAGTGGGAAGTGGGGGGGGGTATACCGGGGGTATTGGTGGTGGGGAATGTGCGCTGGTGGAGGGATGGGTGTTTGATCATTGTGTGATTGGAACCCAAACATGGAAGCTTGTAACTATCTGATGGTGATTCAATAAAATTTAAAAAAAAAAAGAAAAAAAGAAGAAAAAAGAAAAGAGGGTCCAATGGACAACTCCTGTCATTTCCACTAAAGTGTTGCCCCACGTCACATTTACACCTGCAGGTTGTTGTTGGAGCTCTCAGCCTGGGACGCACAGCCCTGTTTATTGCCTGGAAGTCCGTGGAAGCAGGGACCCTGACCACCTCTCCGCCACTCCCCACTCCCCAACATCTGGACTAACAACAGGAGCAGAGAACAACTTGGGAACTGTTGACTGACATAATGAATCGAAGGTGAGCCCCTTGCACATTCACCGGTGATGGACAGGTCCTCTTGTCCCTACAACACAACCTGTCCACAGCTTCTCAGCCAGAGAAGAGTTGCCACAGGTCTAGAGGAACAGCTCGGGGGCTTAGGGCACCTGGCTGCAAGCACATGGTCACGAGTTCAAATCCCTAGTGCCCCACATAGGTCAGGACCAGCCCAGGTGGCCCTGATGCCTGTGGTCTCCTGCACGGCAAGTGCCTCCAAGCCACGACACCAGGGTGTGTGCGGGCACCACAGTGCAATGCCCGCCCCCAGGGAACGGCACAACTGAGAGGATGACAGTGCTCAGGAGAGCTGGTGAGCGAGCACCGTAGTGGCCCCGGCGACATCTACACCCAGGGCCTGAGCCGTGGCAGAGGGGGTGGGGTGTGTGTGTGTGTGTGTGTGTGTGTGTGTGTGTGTGTGTGTGCAAGTGCCTCAGGGAGCTCGTGGCCAAGTGTGGGAGCACCACATTCTGACACAGGGCCCCCGATTCACCACCCGAGAACACGTGAGCCGCTAAATGTGGGAGCACCAGAGCAGCACAGCCCGTCATCCTGACAACGCCAGCAGCGGTGAAGGAAAGGGGGAGGGGAGGGAACAGGAAGTGCTCCCAAGAAATAAGATACCAGGCAGCCAGTGAGCACCGTGGGTAGGGCGCGCGCCGTGCACGCCACCAACTGAGGTTTCATCCCTCCCTGGCACCCACAGGGATCAAACCAAATGGTGCCCCTCCAGGAGTGATCCATGAGCCCAGAGCCAGGAATAAGTTCTGAGCTCCACTGGGGTGGCCCAAACTCTAGAGAAGAAAAATACAGTCAGGGGCAGGGGCGGGGGTGGGGGGGATCCAGAAAACAAAACTGAGGAAATTAGTGGGAAAGAAAATCAAGTTTTATATACATATATATATATATATGTATATATATATAGAGAGAGAGAGGGGGGGTAGGGAGATAGCTCAACAGTTCCTGGCACTGCACAATCCCTGAGCCCCAGCTGAGGCCCTGGAGACCCCCAGAAACCCCTAGCCCTCAGGCTCACTCTGTGGTTTCCGTATCTCTGGGCGCGCCCCCACCCCTCTGTCGGCGGGTTGGTCCTTTCAACTCTCCCCACCAGGGCTTCAGCGCTGACTGGATTGCAAGAGGCAGTCAAAGCCACACTCTATGATCTTGGGATTATACACGTATTTTTAAAATGGGCTTTTCTACCCCACAACTGTGAGCAATCTTTCCCTGGGGAGGCGTGGGGCTTTGGGCAGGATTGGCTGCTCCGCGTGATTCATTTCTGCGCCTGCACGCAGGGCTCTGGGCTGGGGTGGGTGGTACCGACGCCCACCCCGCCGCAGAGCTCGCCATGCTGAGGCGGGGACCAGGCAGGCCTCCCTCGGGCGGGCGCGGGTCGCTGTCGGCAGAGGACCCGGTAGCAGGGGGAGTTACCGTGGTAACAGAAGCGCAAGGCGGAGGAGGGGGAGCGGGGAAGGCGAGGGGCGCCCCTGGGAATCGCGGGTCCCCAGAGAGGCACTGGAACAAGGGGGTGCTGAGACACGGACCCCAGCACCCTCGGGATTCCCACGAGGCCCAAAGCCTGAGTGGAGAGGCCAAGCCCCTCCCCGCTGGGCTCGGGGTGCAGGGGGGAGTGACCGCGCGCCCTAAACGCGCACGCGGCCGGGGATGCAGGGGCGCAGAAGGACCAGCCAGCGCGGGCGCCCGCGGCCCAAGGTGGGGGGTGGTAGGATCCCGGGCGGGTCCCTAACCCCGAGCCGGAGCGCGGCCCTCCCCCAGCTCCGGGTCGGCCCGCCCGCCCCGCGCCCACCCTACCTGTAGAAACGCTCATCTCGGAAGGGCGTGAGGTCCTCGCGCAGCTCGCGGTAGGCCTCCTGCAAACGCTTGCACAGGCGCTTGAGCTCGCTGCAGAGCGGGGGCTCCCAGGCCGGGTACTCGGCGTCCATGCCCGCGCCCCGCCGCCCGCCTGTGCGCGCCCGCGCCGGGGATGCGGGAGCAGGTGGGGTGCGCGCAGGGAGGGGGCCCCGGGCGCCGCCGCGGCGACGTGGCACCACCCGGGCGGGCGGCGGCGAGGGGGCCGCGCCCACCGCCGCTGCGCAGGGGCGGAGGGAGCCGGGCGGGGGTGGAACCCCATGCAAGGTCACCTGCCGCCCAGACTGCAACGTCAAGCCGGACCCAAGAAACGGGGTCCCAGGCCAGAAAAGCGGGAGCAGCGGCCGGGAACCCGCGCGGCGAGTCCGGCTCGGCTTCAGCACCGCGGACAGCGCCGCGCCCGCGCCCCGCCCAGTGCCGCTCGCCCAAGTGGAACGCTGCGCTCCCGGCGGCGGCTGTTCGGGGGTTTTGTGTTTTTTTTTTTTTTTTATTTATTTTTGCCTTTTTGGGTCACACCCGGCGATGCTCAGGGATTACGCTTGGCTTTGCACTCAGAAATTACTCCTGGCGGTGTTCGGGGGACCACAGAAGATGCCGAGGATCGAACCCCGGTCAGCCGCGTGCGAGAAAGCCCCCTCCTCACTGTACTATCGTGCCCGCCTTGGGTTGTTTTGTTTTGTAGGCCACTCCCAGCGGTGCTCAGGGATTACTCCTGGTTCTGTGCTCAGGGGTCACTCCTGGCGGGGCTTGGGATCCTTTAGGGTGCTGGGGATCGAACTGGGGGCGGGCTCTTTACATGCAAGGCAAGATTTTTAATCCCTGTGCTGTCCTCTGCCTGAATAAAGCATTTCAAACCATTCCCACTACCATAACATTATCTATCAACTATTGCTACATCAATCTACTACGTATCTCTACCACCCATTACCTGTCTATCCTTAGAGATCACACTCCGAGCGACTGGCTAGCTGCTTGTGGTTGCTCCTTAGCTGTGTGTGGGGGGGCAAAGTGGTGCCAGGGTCAACTGGGGTCCACTGAATGCAAAGTATGTGCTCCACCCATCAGCTTTCTCTCACCTTCAACATTACGCATTATAACAAAGAAAGGCGCAGGCAAGTGTATTTCCGTTCTCTGTAACGCCTACCAGCTGGAGAAGCACAGCTCACACATCAAAACACATCCATCCAAGACAACACTTGTCTGTAGAGGACATGGTCTCCTTATGTGTGAGACACCTGCTCTGGGTGGTGACTGTGTCCCCACCTACAGTCTGGTCAGCCTGCCAGGAGATCGATACGTTTTGTCTGGTGCCTGTGTACATCACCACGTCTCCCAGGCAGGGGCAGATTCCATTTCAGAGCCCCTGGAGTGGGCTGGGTTTGGAGTTTTGGGGTCTGTCTTGTGGTCCTAGGCTTGGGAGGCGCTGCATCTTCTGTTCTTCATCTCTGTGGAAGGAAATCTGGCTTTCTTACCGCGAGATGACAGGGAGCGAGTCCCAGAGGGTGAGAGGCTGGTGGTTGCCTGTGACAGCAGCCCACCCCAACTTCCAGGCACGAGCCAGGCCACGTGGAGATGCTAACGACCCAGCTCTCAGCTGAAGACAGCCTGTGACACTAGGAACAACTTCTGGAGCCGAGAAATGCCTTTCTCTGCCTGGCACTGCGCAGAATTCTGAGTGCTGATGCTTAAAGCAAATATATTTTGACATGGTTTGTTTTGCTCCAGTGAAAGAAAGAGACACAACTAGTTCCATTCTGTTGAGCAGAGTTCATCCATTTCTCACTGGAAGGTCAAGACTCATCAGCATTCTGGAGCAGAACGGGAGAGGGGAATCATGGGACTTCAGCGTTTCATAGTTACATTTCATCCAGCTCGTTTGGGCTGCCTACTTCCGTGTGATCAAATGGAGCCATTTGAAATCACACTCAATTAGGGTCAGAGCGATAGTGCAGTGTTTGCCTTGCATGTGTTTGACCCGGATTCAATCCCTGGCATTTCATATTGTCCCCCAAGTACTGCCAGTAGTAATTCCTTAGTGCAGAGCCAGGAGTAACCCCTGAGCACCACCAGGTGTGACCCCCCCCCAAAAAAAATAAATATAATAAAATCAACACTCAAGGGGCCAAAGTGTTAGTATAGAGGGTAGGGCACTTGCGTTGTATGCAACCAACCCGAATTCAATCCCTGGCAACCCATATGGTTCCCTGAGCACCTCCAGGAGTGATTTCTGAGCACAGAGCTAGGAGTCATCCCTAAGCACCACCTAGCGTGGTTCAAACGATGGAGATGTTACTGGGCCCGCTCGAGCAAATCGATGAGCAACGGGAGGACCATGACCGTGACTTTTCCTGGGCTACAGAGATAATATAAACACATGCCTTGCATGTGGTTGACTGGGTTTGATCCCCCAGCACCACATACGATCCCCTGAGCACCTCTAGGAGTGATCCCAGAGCACAGAGCCAGAAGTAAGCCCTGAATACCACAGGGTATGGCCTTAAAACAACAATTTAAAAAGTAATAGTAAATAAAATCACACTCTATTGAACATCTGGTGAAGGGAGTGATGTCGGAATGCTGGATTCATGAAACCTGGTAATTAACAGTATTGTCAATCACAATGCTGCAAATAGAAATATTTTTAAATTAAAAAATAAATGGTGGTCAGAGAGATGGTCCAGCAGGCTGGGGACTTGCCTTGCAGTCAGTTGGCCCAGGTTCATTCCTCAGAATCAGTCTCGAGTCCTCCCAGGAATGAACTTTGAGCAAAAAGCTGGGAGTAAATCCTGAGCATCGCCCAGGGTAACCCCCAAACAAAACTAAATAAAATCATTCAGAGACTTCCCCATAATTCTGCAGCTGCATTTGGGGCAGCAGAGACCACTTGTGCTTCATAGGAGGTCATCGGGGTCACTCAGCTAGAACTGGTGCATCCTGACAGCTCATCCCTGAGGCTGGCATGTGAGCCCAGGAGCTCAGCTGGCTGGGTGGGCAGAGGGTCTCACCCTGTGAGGCTGCTTCAGGGGCTGCTTGGGTTTCCTCATAGCATGAGGAAGGGTTCTGAGGAGGGACTGCAGCAGCCAGGCTTAACACGGTGCTTGGAGGTCCCAGAGTTACAGCGGGTTGCGACCTGCTTTGACTTCTGTAGACAGCCACTAGCACGAGGACCAGTACACTCTTTTTTTTTTTCTTTACAGCCCTTTTAACAGTTCACCGTTAAGGGCTTATGTAGGTAGCAGCAGAAACAGGAAGCTCCACTCCTGCCAGGATCCCGTTACATTATAAACCTCTCCCCTGAGTTGTTTCTGCTGATTGTTTTTTCTCCTGTGAGATCATCTGATTGGAACACAATCTGGTTGTATATGTAAAGGAGAATTTGGGTGATCCTGGGACAACCAATGAGAGTGCACATGTCCTTATATGGCTTTGTAGGATTGTTGCATATGCTTTCATGCAAATAAAGTCTATAGAATGACCAATCAGATCACAGATGCAAACTGAGACATTGCAAGGTGGTCCCTCGGAGTCCCTGCCACTCCCTCCTCCTCTCTGATCCCTCCCTGCTCATTTCATCTGTAACACTAGGGCAGCACTTCCTCCAGATCTTTCAGGATAAAGCAGGAGAAGCCCCACCCAGGACCCATGGGTTAATATGACTCGTACCTGGATGGCTGTAGCATCATGCCCTCGGACAGGAGACAAATGGTCTGGGTGCTGTCTTTGAAGCGCCTTCTCTACCCCTGCTTTATCACCTGTGATCGTGCCAGCCCTTCCCAGCTAGGACCCCTTCTACTGCATCACCTCCAGGCAACTTCCTGTTTCCTGACAGACAGGGAACACAGGATGTCGGCTTCCCCAGAGCAGAAACATTGCACTGCACTGCACTGTCCTCCCGTTGTTCATAGATTTGCTCCCCAGTAATGTCTCCATTGTGAGATTTGTTGTTACTGTGTTTGGCATATCAAATAATCACAGGTAGCTTGCCAGGCTTTGCCATGCGGGTGAGATACTCTTGGTAGCTCGCCGGGCTTTCCGGGCTCTCCGAGAGGGGTGGAGGAATCGAACTTGGATCGGCCGGGTTGGCTGCGTGCAAGGCAAACACCCTACTGCTGTGCTATCGCTCCTTTGGAAATCTGTTTCTCCGACTTTTACTCTTTCCTTGTTTGTTTATATGATCCAAGTTTTACATATGTTCATGCCCATAACCAGAACCAAAATGAATAGAGTATTAATGCTTTCCAAGAACTCCTTCCCTAAGTTACCTGTGAAATCAAGTTCTATAACTGCATTTGGCTTGGTTTGAGTGCTATGGGGACAGAATCATACAGAACACCTTCTTCAGTGTTTGCCTTTGTTCCCTAGTCTGGAGGAGGAGAAAATCTGCTTGGCAAGAGTGAAAAGTATTCAGTGTCCTCTCATTTTGCTACAGCCTACGAAACAGGTAAGCTTTGGAACCCGGCCCAGACAGGCACTTGCCACCTCTTGGCTAAGTATTCCTGACTCCTTTCTCTCCCTCAGTGAGAAGCACCACCCTCCAACAGAGAGCAAGCCTCAGGCTGTGGGCACAGCTCTACCGGCATTCTTGTTTTTGCTTCTAGGTTTTTTTGCCTCCTTCACAGTGCTCAGATCACTTCACTTGATCATGTGACTTCCCATTAATCATCGAGTTGCTCGAGGGGGCGCCAGTAACGTCTCCATTTGTCCCTGTCGCATGCTAGTGTAACCCAATGGCGTCTGTTTGTTCTAGGAACACAAAGAGCCTCAAACTGATCCTTCAGGATCTTGATGAAGAAGTCTGACCATCTGGTAGGTGGGCGGCCACGTGGTCTTTTGACGTCCCGTGGAATCCAGTCGCTAATGGTTCTAGTCCAGCAGTCGTCTCTAAATCTCATTACATGACCAGTCCATCTGATTTTTGATGCCTTGGCAAACGAGACAGCGTTCCTGATTCTTGATCGTCGACAGAGGTCGGAACTCTGGATTCTTTCTCTCATTTGAGTGAAACGTGATACTCCACGCATAGTTCTTTCGATTCCTCAGATGTAGTCGTTTCTGTGCTCAGGGGTCACTCCCAGCGGTGCTCAGGTGTGTCCTCAGTTCCAATGCTGCTGGGGGCCTTGGGGAGGGTCATAGCCTCCTTCTCTTTCACAACCCTCCCCCCCTCAGTTGTTTTGGGGACCACACCCAGTGGTGTCAGGGCTTACTTTTGATAATGCGCCCAGGGGTCACTCCTGGCAGGCT